GCCCCTCCGCAGAGCAACGGGGGCGGGGGCGGCAAGCAGGTGAGCTCCCCGGGCCCCTCCCTCTGGCGCAGGCCGAGCTGGGCGCTAGGCGAGGGAGGTCAGGCCCGCGGTAGGGGGCGCAGGTCGGGGCCTCCCCGGATCGCGATGGCTCTGGTGAGCCGGACCGCCCGGCTCACTCCCCCAGGTGAAAAGACCTTCGTTGGTATTGCCAGTGCCAAAGAAGCAAGAAAAGCAAAAGCCCTTCAGAAATCCCCCCAGTGTGATAATAATTTGGAGAGCATCCAGACATCTCAATATACGTATGTATACACAGAGACGAAAATGAGGTCGTGCTACATATATTGTATGTCCTGAACCTGTCTCCGTATTAATAAAATTTATTTTGTAATTATGTTAAGTAAGGTCGTTATGTCGCGTTATTTTAAGTGGCAGCATAAATACTGCATTGTAGGAGGTGCCATAACTTAACCCGTTTTCTGGCTTTGGGGAGTAAGTTGTTAAAGAGTTTTTCTCATATAAACATCACGAATAAATAATCGTTTTTTGCCTTGGCCTAGACCCAGTCCTGCCCCTGTGGTATTGTAAGCAATTTACACTTTTTGGTTATTGGGAGGCTTCAGTTTGTGTAATTACCCAGCTTTTTTTTTTTTTTTAAAGAAAGAAAAGCAGTACTTTTGAAGTGTGTTTGTAAAGTGTCTTTGTAAATCACATATTCTGGGATCCTTGTAAGATGGTTGTATCGGGTCAGCCACCTTTCTCCAGTTTTTCTTACTTTTTGTTCTTTAATTGTTTATGTAACAGAGTAAGCAGGAAATTCACAGGAGGTCCGCTCGACTCCGAAATACGAAATACAAATCTGCTCCAGCTGCTGAAAAGAAAGTTTCTACTAAAGGAAAAGGGAGAAGACATATTTTTAAATTAAAAAATGTAAGGTGATTGTGGACAGTCTCTTTTACTGTAATTAAATGTAATTTCATTGTGTGTGTACTGTGTCCTGCCATTGCTTTCCTTTTTCACCATTGAACATTGACTCTGCTTTTGGGGACTTGTCTGGACAAGAAAACTCCTAGAGGAGAGTGAGCTCTGTTAAAGGAGACTTACTGTTTAGGATATTAACAATACCCTTTCAATTTTTTTAAAAAATTGTGGTGTGGGTGAAAGTCTACAGAACAAATCAGTTTTCCATTCAACAATTTATACACACTTTGTTTTGTAACATTGGTTGTAATCCCTTCAGTGTAACAGCACCTTTGCCACTTCCTGGGTTCCCCAGTTCCATTCTCTCTTCTTTCCTGCCTTCTGAGCTTTGTTTTTGGGCAAATGGCTCCCCTTTGGTTTCTTAAGGTTTCCTGTACTGATGAGTAGTTCCTCTCTGATGTTATAGTTTCCTTTATTGTTGTTGTTATGTGCTGTGGAGTTAGAACCCACTGATAGCGACCCCTCGGGTTTCCGAGGCAGTATCACTATGGAAGTAGATTGCCCCATCTTCCTTCCGAGGAGTGACTGGTGGGTTTGAACCGCCAGCCTTCTAGTTAGCAGTCAAGTGCTTTAGGCACTATGTTACCAGAGCTCCTTGTTTCCTTTATTGTTGTTGTTGTTGTTATGTGCTGTCGAGTCGCCCCGACTCATAGTGACCCCTCATTGGGTTTCCGAGGCAGTATCACTACGGAAGTAGGATTGCCCAACCTTCCTTCCGAGGAGTGGCTGGTGGGTTTAAACCGCCAGCCTTCTGGTTAGCAGTCAAGTGCCTTAGGCACTATGCTACCAGAGCTCCTAAAGTAGGATGTAGAACAATGTTTTTGCCTAAGCAGTTTTTTTAGTTTCACTTCTGTCATGCCAGACTATTAGAGCTTGTATATTTTAATAGTTGAAATGTTAATATGTAATTAAGCTGTAAGAGTGTAAGAGGGCTTCATGTTAGATCTCAGCAGCGTAATCAGGCACTTGTCCTTTGGTTCTCGGTGAGTTTTAAGCTGATGGCAGCAGAAACAGCAATAGAAATATATGACTTTGACAAACTTTAAGAATATCATTATCTTATTTTCCAATTCTTTTTACCAACATATTTTAGTGTTTCTCAAAATGAAGGACTTATATATGGCTTTCATACACAGAATGATTGTGCTCAGGTTTTCACTTTTGTTTTTTCATAGCCTATCAAAGCTCCAGAGTCTGTTTCTACCATAATCACTGCAGAATCAATTTTCTACAAGGTAAGCATCTTAGAGTTACTGAAAGAAAATTCGGGCCTATTGTTTAATATGCTAATTTGTTAGTTTAATATATTTAATGCTGGATTGGTCTAAAGTCTCTGCTACTCTGTGTAAGATAGAATTATGCTTTTTATTCTCTTTTGTTTTTCTCCTGTAGATGGCTGTTATGAGACATTCCAGACATGGGGTCTTAAGTATTTTTTAATGTAGGTTATGGGAATAGTTTTTTAAAATGCAGCTGCCCATTGGGAAGCTGGGTAAGAGTGACACTTCTAAGTCAGTGTGGCATTGAAGGGTAGAAGGGATGAGTAGAGAACCTGTGGTGTCCACTGAGTAGAGTGAGCACAGAGATTCTCACAATAAACAGAGGTGAGGGGAATATGGGCAGTAGGTGGGACTAACTCCTACTAAAAGTCTGGTGAGAGAGGTCATAATGTCTTGATAAAAGAGTGAGAAGATCAGGATTCCTAGGGCCAAAGGCCAGGAGCATCTGATACTCAATGAAAGTGAAGACAAATCATTATTTTTGAACCAGAAGCCTTAACAAAGGAGTTGGACCATATAAAAGACCACCAATGCCTGGCAGGCTTGGTACAGGCAACAGCCATTAAAGGCTATTTGGTACATTGGAGTCTGAACTGTTAGAGGGCAGTACTTACAGGGTTACTGCTTTACACCTGACCTAAGTGGATCAAACACTGTGACTCAGGATCAGTTCTCCTGAATATATTGTTGTTGTTAGTCCCAACCTAAACAGTCTATAGGCAGACATCTCTCTTATATTTCTAGCATTTCATACATGGTTAGTAATAGCTAAAGTTGTATGTGCTTGCTGTGTATAGGCACTGAACTCAGCATTTTACATGCTTCATTTCACTCAGTCGTCTCCGTGATGTGGGTTCTTTTATGCTTATTTTGTGGATGAGGACATTGAGGCACAGATTAATTAACTTATCCAGGGTCACACAGCCAGTGAGTCATAGAGGAAGGCGGTCTGACACCAGAGCCCAAGCCCAGACTTCAGATCCTAGGACTGATCCTGGCTCCACTACTTAGGCAAGTGGCTATGTAACTGGGCAATGTCTAACCTCTGTAAGTCTGTTTTGTCTTCTGTAAAATAGGGATTGTAAAGGTAGCTACTTCACTGGGCCAAGTGAAATCATGTATGTTAAGCACTTAGCAAAGTAAGTATTGGGTGTATGGTAGAAATTATCATCATCACTTTAAAGACGTGTTATTTTCACAACATATATATCATTTACAGGTTAAGTGCAGGAACAACTGGTTGAGCTAAGGATTTAGTGATTACCAGGCTTATCTCAATGGAAAGGCATGTGGGACCTGTAAGTACAAGTGTCAGTACTTTCACATTGCTGTCTACCATCAATTATTAAACAATGAGGGCACAATGCAACAAAATATTCAAGTGATGCTGCAGATAGCCAGTGTTGCGGAGGCTACCACAGTGGCACGCAATGGCAGGTAACACTGTTATGGATGAGCTTGAGGGGTCACTGCCAGCTGCTGAACTAGGTCTCAGACCAGGCATGTGAGAGGAAGCTGAATAGGAACCGGGTGTGACAGCCAAGAGTGTGGGCCCAAGACCCAGAATAGTTCCGTGACCTCCTTGCAGCAATACCGTGGCAGAACAGCTCCATGAGTCCAGGTCTGGTGACTCCAGTCTAGTGTTCTTTACCTTACTGTGTTGCCCACCCCCTTCTCTCTGCCAGAGATTCTTAAACCTCCCAGCATATGAGAGGACCTCATGGATCAGGTGTAGTTGTTCTGTTTGGTGTTACAGGTATATATACACATAACAGGAGCTCTGGTAGCATAGTGCCTAAGGTACTTGACTGCTAACCAGAAGGCTGGTGGTTCAAACCCACCAGCCACTGCTCGGAATGAAGGTTGGGCAGTCTACTTCCATAGTGATACTGCCTTGGAAACCTGAGGAGGGGTCACTATGAGTCAGGGCCAACTTAACGGCACATAACAACAATATACACGTACATATATTTATTAAATACCTCCTATGTGCCAAGTCCTCGGAAGGAAGATGGGACAATCTACTTCATAGTGATACTGCCTCAGAAACCCAAGGAAGGGTTGCTATGAGTTGGGTCCGATGCGATGACACATAACAACAACAGCATGTGCCAAGTAGTAGGTTTGCCACTGGAGTCTTGCACTAAGAGACTGTCTTGCATTGCCGTTCTGCTTTCATACTATTGCATATTTTGGATTAATATTCATTCAGCATGTATTTGAATGCTTGTGATAAGCAAGGCCCTGTTTTTTAATGGGTCCTAAACAAACAAACAAAAAAAAATCACTGCCATCAAGTCGATTCTGACTCATAGCGATCTCCTCTGGGTTTCCAAGATGGTAAATCTTTATGGAAGTAGATTGCCCAGCCTCCCTTCCATTAAGTGGTTGGTGAGTTTGAACCACCAGCCTTCTGGTTAGCAGTCACATGCCTTAGGTGCTATGTCACCAGTGTTTGAGAGAACAAATACAATTATTTGTAATTTGAGAATAATGATTATACATGGGAACAAAGCAAACTGTAAGTGCAAATTACTTATATGATAAATAACTTAGAAATTTGCAGGAAGGATTGGGAAGAAGGACAAGCTGATAATAGCTATATTCTAGCAAGTACTGGTCAGTGGCCTGCACTGACTATATACCAGTCCTCAGTAATCCAGATTCAAGGTTTTAGTCTTGGAATATAGAGACCCATCAGGAGACATCCCTGGCCTATTAGGCACTCATATGTCAGCTCAATTACTGGAAATATTTCTTCAGATTGTTTTTATAGTTGAGGTGCACGCCCAGCAGCTTTACCTGCTGTCAAGGCCTGCTTTGAGGGAAGCAGTAATGACTCAGAGCCTGTACCTGCAGATGGAGAATATGGTCTATGGAGAACTACACCCACCTAAGGAAGTGCTGAGTGACAAACTTACAGGTCAACCATATGGATATTCAAAAGAAGGAGAGATGTTTTCCAGCTCAAGACCAGGAGAGAAGACATGGGCTGGAACAGCAGAGGCAAAGGGAAAGGGAGGGTTTAATATGTGATGTGTACACAGTTGTTGGTAGGATATGATGTGGAGCAGGAAATGAATAAGGTGTGAAATCTTGAATGCTTGTAACACCAGTGATGGTATTCCATTCTATGGGTAATAGAGGGGCTCTTGAAAATATGTATTCAAGTCTTTGACTTTGAAAGAAACTTGCAGGAGGGTGTAAAACTGAACTGGGAGAAGAGACAAATGGCAATGAGTCTGGGGAAATACATGGTAAATTGGGATTAAAGTATCCTAAAGACTGATTATTGTTCAAAGTACTTCAGTCACTTTTAACGTGTATTTCTGATATCTTGTTTTCTTTTAATGGATGGTTGGGGAGGGAGCATATTCTCACCAGTTAAGGGCCCGTCTTTAGGCCATGCAGAGGAGACGCTGAGCTGTTGCAGGTGCTTGAGCTCCCGCTGCCTTGTGTGGCTCCCAGCAAGCGCCCTAACCGCTCCATGGCTTGTATCTCTGGCTAAGCATGTGAGGATAGTACTGTTGTGGTATAAAATCAGAGTACTTTTATAAAGAAATGTTTTTTTCATATGCAAGTTGTCATAAAAATACATATATTTTTCCTTTAAAAGTGAAACAACTTTATTGGACCTGCTCAAAGATCTTTATTGACCCCTTTGAAACCATTGCTTTCATATTAAGGATCTTTGATTTGATAGCTGTGCTACCATTTAAATGTTGACTTCTGTTTTCCCCAGGGAGTATATTACCAAATAGGAGATGTTGTTTCTGTGATTGATGAACAAGATGGAAAGCCCTACTATGCTCAGATCAGGGGTTTCATTCAGGATCAGTACTGTGAGAAGAGCGCAGCCCTGACGTGGCTCATTCCCACTCTCTCTAGCCCCAGAGACCAGTTTGATCCCGCGTCATACATCATAGGTGAGTGTCTTATTGCATGTGGTGTAGATTCTTGAATGCAAGTAAGTCTGTGATACTGTGTAAAACAAGTATTAACCTCATAAAAAGTTACTGATTGATACAATTTTAAAAGCATTCAGAGTTTTTAAATTACCCAGAATTTTTCAGTCTTTCTGCAAACTTTGTGCATCATTTTTACATTGTGAGAAAAAAATATAAGTTTTTCAGCGAGATCCCAGGGACAAGTAATGTTCCACTATTATTTTCATTTACATGTCAGGTTTGCTCCATGACCAAAGGGTTTAGTTTCCTGCTTCTAAGTACATACCAGTACCAGTTAGTGTCAAGTCAGTTCTGACTCCTGGTGACCCAGTGTGTGTCGGAATAGAAAGTGCTCCTTAGGGTTTTCAGCGGCTGATTTTTCAGAACTAGATCGCCTGTGTTTTCTTCCGAGGTGCCTCTGGGTGGACTCAAATCCTCAATCTTTCAATTAGTAGCCAAACTCCTTGACCACCTGCACCACCCAGGGACTCCTTAGAAGTACATTATTGTTGCTGTTGTTAGGTGCTGTAGAATGAATTTCCACTCATAGCGACCGCTGTGACAGAGTACAATGTGGAAGAAGAGAACTTCAGTTAACTCATCTCTGGGGCAGGATTCTCTGCCTGGGCAGTGATGTGTCAGAATCACTTCTGGGGTTCCCCTACCCCCTTCTCTTTCCAGTCCCCCAAAATTCTGATATGCATCATCTTTGATCCAGAGGAGGGGCGTATCCAGTGGTAAAGTGGTTAAGCATGACTACTAACTGAAAGGTTGGCACTCCAAACCCACCAGCAGCTCCACAGGAGAAAGATACAACAGTCTGCTTCCATGAAGCTTATAGCCTTGGAAACCCTATAGGGCAGTTCTACTCTGTCCTATAAAGTCATTATGAGTTGGAAACAACTTGATGGCAATGGGTTTCCAGAGCATAGAGGTTAAGAGCATGAACTCTGGAACTAGACTACCTAATTTCATAGCCCTGCCTCTTACTAGCTGTGTGACTTTGAGCAAAGTCCTTATAATCTCTTGCCTCACTTTCCTATGTAAAATGGAAATAATAATTCCTACCTCAGGGTTATTTTAAGGATTCAAAGTACTGTTGTAAGTAAAGTGCTTTGAAAAGTACCTGGTATATAATAAACACTATATTATTTTTTAATTGAATATTATTTTTAGAATTTTTTCTATATTGAGTCGCAATTTGGGGGAGAAGGTTTCATGCCTTAAGGAGAGTAAAGTGGAAGAAATGAGAAATGCTGATGGGCAGTAACTTGAGAGAAATGCATGCTTCAAGGGCTGATGTCATGGTATTAGCTTGGGTAGCTCCTAGTGTCTAAGGAATGTAATGTTTTGTTAAAATAATACATATATATATTCACAGGGAGCTCTGGTGGCATAGTGCCTAAGGCACTTGACTGCTAACCAGAAGGTTGGTGGTTCAAACCCACCAGCCACTCCTCAGAAGGAAGATTGGGCAATCTGCTTCCATAGAGATACCGCCTCTATATTTAACCTTTTCTGCCTGTTAGGACCAGAGGAAGATCTCCCAAGGAAGATGGAATACTTGGAATTTGTTTGTCATGCACCTTCGGAATATTTCAAGTCAAGATCTTCACCATTTCCCACTGTTCCCACCAGACCAGAAAAGGGCTATATATGGACACATGTTGGACCTACTCCTGCAATAACTATTAAGGAAACCGTTGCCAACCACTTGTAGTTTAAAAATTAAAACTGGGTTTCCAGTTATATTATGGTCATACTACAGGATATGACACATGTTTCCTTAATGAAATTTTTAGGTGAAAAAATGACCTAAAAGAAGTTTGTTCCCTACTACCCAGTAATCAGGAGCTCTGGTAGCATAGTGGCTAAAGCCCTTGACTGCTAACCAGAAGGCTGGCGGTTCAAACCCACCAGCCACTCCTTGGAAGGAAGGTTGGGCAATCCTACTTCCGTAGTGATACTGCCTCAGAAACCCAAGGAGGGGTCGCTGTGAGTCGGGGCCGACTCGGCGACACATAACAACAACAACAACATCCCAGTAATCACTAGCTTGTTTATTACTGGTCACTTGGAAAAGTAAAAGGGATAGTAAAGAAAGAAATATATTTTGAAGTTAATTATTACATTCCATATATGTATCTTCCCAGGCACAGCCTGTCATTTTTAAGGGAGAGACCATTAGGAACACATAGTGTCCGTTATTCTCCATAACTCCATAACTTATTTCTGGAAATTATCATACAGTTGATTGTATTTTTTCACAGCAACAAAATATTAGTTAAGGTTTGGATTTCTGACCAAGGGCTTACAATCAAATAAAATGAAGATGTGACCAACAGTATCATAAAGTCACATAAGCCTTAAGTTTTCACTCCTAGAAAATGTGACGGAACATTCAAAATTTGTTATTTGCTGATTTAACCTTAAAGAAAGTGATTAGTAAATGGTTTTTTTACCCAAGCTTTTTAAAACTTTCCTAATTGTTCTGTAGCAAACAAGTATTCAGAATCATTCTATTTTAATTGTTTTCAACTACTTCCTCAGTCAAAAGAGACTTCCAATTCAAATCTTAAGATTTTATTTTGCAGACCGTCAACTGCATTAAAACCATACAGGAAATGTACTGTACAGACATTCCATTTGATGGTTTCTGGAACCGCTATTGGAGAGTGATTACTAGGTCATTAGTATTGATCTCTTTTAAAAAGTTCATCCCAAAGTTAAACCATCTGCCATGAATATACAATGAAGCAAAACAATGTCATGAACTTAGAAGGCTTATTACAGGAAATTGTTCAGGTGAGTTACGTGAGAGAGCAACAGTGTAGAAAATAGGGGAAAGTGGAAGTTTCACACACTTCTGTCTTATTTTTAGGATAGAAAAATATGTCAGGAAAATATGTCAGAAGCTAAGCTAATCGTCATGATTTTGAATTGTAGTCGCTTTAACTGTTGCTCTTTTCCTACAGTTAATGGTTTATGTGTTGGAAAGAAGCAACTGTAGATAACATAGCTCTATGTACATAGAAAAACAGCTGCTGTTGAGTCATCTGACTCCTGGAGACCCCGTGTGTCAGAGCAGAACTGTGCTCCACAGGGTTTTCCACTGTTGATTTTCCAGAAGTAGACCACCAAGCCTTTCTTCCAAGGTGCCTCTGGGTAGATCAACCTTCCAACCCTTTGGTTAGCCATCCGCACTACCCAGGGACTCTCCTGTGTACGTGTTGTTATGTACCGTCGAGTCGGCCCCGACTCATAGCAGCCCCCCTTGGGTTTCCGAGGCAGTATCACTACAGAAGTAGATTGCGCAACCTTCTTTCTGAGGAGTGGCTGGTGGGTTTGAACCACCAGCCTTCTGGTTAGCAGTCAAGTGCCTTAGGCACTATGCTACCAGAGTACATAGTTACCTGTATATTCACAAAAATTATAATAAAATTGATTGTAAATACCATTGTAAATAATTTTCTAAATGCTAATGTTCAAAAGTTTTGGATTAAAATGTATTTTTCACAATGTCTTTACTTTGGATTTATTTCATTTGAACAACTTAAATGGAGCTTTCTGTATTAAAAAATGGCATAAATAGGAACACCAAAGTTGTAGCACTCAGAATTGGCAATGACAGATTCATCATCTATCTATAGACAAATATATATTTTTTTACATATATGTAATTTGTTTACATACTGCCCTGCTGATAGACCACAGGTTTTTAGTCCCTACAAATATAGAACACTTTACAAAAAATCGTTCCTGAACCCTTGCAAGAGAGAAAAAGGTAGCTGAATGGCTTTGTTATCTAGTGCTCTGTAACAGAAATACCACAAGTGGATGGCTTTAACAAAAAAATTTATTTTTTCAGTATAGGAGGCTAGACGTCCAAATTCAGGGCAGCAGCTCTTGAGAAGGCTTTCCCACTCTATCGGCCAATGGAGGAAGGTCCTTGTCTCTTTTCTGCTTTTGCTCCTTGGTTCCTTGCAGATCCTCATGTATGTCTATCTTCCCTTTAGTCCTTGCTTTCTCTGTGTTTAACCTGCTCTTTTATATCTCAAAAGTGATTAGTTTTAAGAAAGATACACTCTGTACTCATTAACATATCAAAGAATACCTTTTCTTAAATAGGATTATATCCACAGGTATAGTTCACTGACTCATAGCAACCCCCATTGGGTTTCTGAGGCTGTAAATCTTTACAGAAGTAGATTGCCCCATCTTCCTTCCATGGAGTGGCTGATAGGTTTGAACCGCTGACCTTCTGGTTATCAGCCAAGTGCCTTATCAGCATTCCAACACATATTTTAGGGTACACAATTCAGTCCATTTGTTGTTGTTTGCTCTCAAGTCAGACCCAACTCTGTGACCCCTCCTTGGGTTTCTGAGGTGGTATCACTATGGAAGTAGATTGCCCAACCTTCCTTCTGAGGAGTGGCTGGTAGATTTGAACTGCCAGCCTTCTGGTTAGCAGTCAAGTACCTTAGGCACTATGCTACCGGAGGTCCTAATTCAGTCCACAGTAGGGGAAACAGCTCACTCCTGTGGCTGTTGCAGGAGGCTTCAGATCTTCACTCTGCAGGCCTCTCCATAGCTTTGCTCATGACCTGGCTTCCCACCCCAACTCACCCCTGACCTCAGAGCATGAAAAAGAAAGAATGTACATCCCCAGACAGAAGCCACAATCTTTTTATTACCTAATCTGGAAGTGACATAGCCTCGATTCTGCTGTAGGCTGTTGGTTATGTGGAAGAGACTATACTAGAATGAATTCTAGGAGGTGGGGATAATCGGATTTCTTAAAGGCACAGAGAGACACTTATCCTGCTGGTGTAAAAATAAATTACCATAATCTTTATAGAAAGGTAGTATGTATCAATAATCTTAAAAATACTTATACCTTTTGATCTAGTAATTCCATTTCTAGGAATCCATGCTAAGAAAATAGTAAATGTGGACAAAAATAGGTTTTAAAGAGGTTATTTTTAGCATTGTTTAAAATAGTAAAAAACCAGGAACAGATCCAACATGAGGAAAATGATTTTTGATATGTTCATAATGGAATTGTACACCATCATCAGAAATGTCATTTACAAAGAATTTTTAGTAACATGAGTTACTAGTATTCATAAAATACATAGTATGAAAAAAGATACAAAACTACATAAACAAAATGATTGATTTTTGTTAAAACATGTATGCACATATGCATATAAGGAAAACTGGAAATAAATGTTAATATTTGACATATTATTTGAATTTACAGTGAATTTTTTAACCAGCTGAAAGTAGAGTGTGAGGGATAAAGATGAATTCAGGTAGTCTTGAGTGTTACTTTGTGGAAGATAAAAAGCAGCAGTAACTTACCAGAAGGAGGGAATTGGTGAATTGAGTTTGCTTTGTTTTGTAACATTAAGACTATGAGGCATTATCTAGACTTCCGTATCCAGTAACTAATCGGAAATATGATATGAGAACTGAAGAAATACAGTAAAAAAACAATACAGTAAAAAACTCTGCCCAGTTGATTTCTGTCTCCTAACGCTCACATAGGATCTCTGGTAGCATTGTGCCTAAGGCACTTGACTGTGAACCAGAAGGCTGGGGGTTCAAACCCACCAGCCATGCCTCAGAAGGAAGATGGGGCAATCTACATCCATAGTGCTACTGCCTTGGAAACCCAAGGAGGGGTTGCTATGAGTCGGGTCTGACTCGACGGCACATATAATAACAACAACAAATGCTCTCATGGGACAGCACTGTGTGTCAGGTGCTTAGGCAGGCAGTGATATTGTTCTTGGCTCCCAAGACTCAGGGCCAACCCCAGTTTGACTCAGGTCATGTCCAAACTTAAAACAGATTCAAGCCCATCATAGCCAAGTCACCCTCCTTCAGCTCCAGTCGTCTGGCACAAATGTCCCAAGCCTAGATATTATGCTCCTGTATCCTTATGTCTGTGACTAAGGTATTAAGAAAATGGCAAAATGGTTACAGCTGTTGCATGTTTGCAGGGTAATCAGTGAGGTGTTGGGGGGCTGGGGCAGACCATGGGAAAGACAACTAGAAGAGTGGAGGTGGGCAGAGGCATCCTCTTTCATAGCAAGCTAGAGAAGCCTGCAGCAACTCCAGGCCACTGGGCCCAGGTGTCAGACAAGGCAGCAGTAAAGCCACATTAATGTCCAGAGAATCAGAATAATGCCATGGATGAACTTCCAAAGAGTTCACATCAAATTTTATAAACTATAATTTCTGGGCAATTAGGCTTTGCCTTTGTTAATATAGCTCGTATTATGGATTGAGTGATGTCATCCATATGTGTTGTAAATCCTGACTTCTGTGCCTGTGGTGTGGGAGCTCTGGTAGCATAGTGCCTAAGGTGCTTGACTGCTAACTAGAAGGCAGGTGGTTCAAATGCACCAGTTACGCCTCGGAAGGAAGGTTGGGCAATCTACTTCCGTAGTGATACTGCAGTGGAAACCCAAGGAGGGGTCACTATGAGTCGGGTCCGACTCCATGGCACATAACAACAACAACATGCATGTGGCATAGTGCCTGAGACATTTGACTGCTAACCAGAAGGCTGGTGAATTAAACCCACCAGCCACTCCTCAGAAGGAAGACTGGGCAATCTACTTCTGTAGTGATACGGCCTCAGAAACCCAAGGAGGGGTTGCTGTGAGTTGGATCTGGCTCAGTGGCAGTGAGTTTGGTTTTTTTGGTTGC